CTCCAGTGCCCGGCTCAGAGCCCGCCGGGGTGAGCTGCTGTCCTGGCCCCACTGCGGGTCCGGCCTCACGGGCTCTGATGGATGGACAAAACCTCCAGGGGACATCTGACACTGCCACGGCGGCTCTCCTGCCCATCACCACGGCATCCGATGACCCGTGTCCACCCTGGGGCTACCAACCAGGATGCCAAACTCAATCTGATTCTTTTTCTCATCTGTAAAACGTGGCCTTGGTCTTAACAAGCCTGAGATCTGGAGGTGCTCTTCATCTCCCCCTGTACTCGGCACTGGTGAGGCCCCACCTTAAATACTGTGTTCAGTTTTGGGCCCCTCACTACAAGAAGGACATTGAGGTGTTGGAGCGTGTCCAGAGAGGGGCTACAAAGCTGGTGAGGGGTCTGGAGGACACGTCTGATGTGGAACCACTGGGGGAACTGGGGGTGTTCAGCCTGGAGAAGAGGAGCTGAGGGGAGACCTTCTCACCCTCTACAACTCCCAGAAAGGAGGGGGTAGAGAGGGGGGGCTGAGCTCTTCTCCCTGGTGACAAGTGATAGGACCAGAGGAAATGGGTTCAAGTTATGTCAGGAGAGGTTTAGATTGGATATTGGGAAACATTTTTTCACTGAGAGGGTTATCAAACATTGGAAGAGGCTGCCCAGGGAGGGGGTGGATTTGCCATCTCTGGAGGTGTTTGAAAAAAGGGCAGAGGTGGTACTTGGGGATATGGTTTAGAGGTGGTTTTGTCAGGGTAGGGTAATGGTTGGACTTGATGATCTTAAAGGTCCCTTCTGACCTCATCGATTCTATGATTCTATAATTCTATGAACCCCAAAGGTCCTTACCCACCACGGCTCAGCCACCTCAGCCCTTCCCCACATCGGGGTCCACTTGACCTCCCACCGCTGGGTGCCCGCTGAGGGCAGACGATGCACAACCACTCAATTCATCGTGGTTCCCGTGCCAAATCGGAGTGCAAAGCGCGTTGTAAAACATCACCCATAAAACGCAACCGCCCCAACCCATCGCTGCCAGCCGGGGCCACCGTGGTCCGGCGGGGACCGGCTGGGGGCCACGGGCCTGCGGTGACAAGGAGGGTAGGAGAGGGTCACAGGCAGCGGTGGCTTTACCTCATGCCCCCGCGCGGACCCGCTAATGCAAAGACTTAATTTATTCACCTGCGTGCGCTTGCCGAAGGGAGCCCCGGTCGCACCCGGCTGAGCAACTCAATTACCCCTGTAATACCCGAACAACAGCACGTCCCGACTCCATTCCCGTGGAGAAAATAAATAAAAAAATAAAGAAAGAAAGAAAAGAATCTCGCTTTGGGGCATTTGAAATGCCACGTGTGAAGGCAGAGTGTGAGGGCATTGATGGGGCGGTCACCGAGGGGGGAGAGGGATGCCGGGGTCCGGTTCCTGCACATACGTGCGGGAACCGGACCCCGGCATCCCTCTCCCCCCTCCACTAAATTGCGAAATTAACTCCTCTTTGCACCTTGATTTTTACCAATTTTATCACCTCTTGACCTCGCAATCGAGCCCCAGCCCCCTGACGATGGGTTCCCGTACGTGCGGGAACCGGACCCCGGCATCCCTCTCCCCCCTCCACTAAATTGCGAAATTAACTCCTCTTTGCACCTTGATTTTTACCAATTTTATCACCTCTTGACCTCGCAATCGAGCCCCAGCCCCCTGACGATGAACGTGGGGCTCCCACCGCCGCTCTTACCTTACTGAGGATGTAGATGAGGTCCCCACGGCGGAAGGAGAGCTCGTCGGGATGCTCGCTGCTGCAGTCCCACATGCCTTGGTAGTAATTGGCATAATCTCGCCGGGGACCTCCTGGGGACATTAAAAAAAGAAAAAACGGAGAGGTCAGGGTGACGGGGAATTATTATATGGGGAAATATTGGGGTTGGGGGGGTGTTGGGGGGAGCGGAGGTGGTGTTTGTCGGGGAAAGGAAGGAAACGGTGTTCTTAATTTTGCGTTTCAATTAAAGGGCAAAGAGGTACTGCAAGAAAAAAGGGGCTGCTCAATAAAAAAAATGCAATATCTATCAGTAAATACACATAAACATACTGATAAATGTTTCGGTTTCAGAAGACCTTGAATTAAAGCTGTTTACTACAAACCACAGAAGGAACCAAAGCTGCTTTTCCCTCTCTCCCAAGTCCCTCATCTCCTCCTCAGGCTCAAACCAAGCTGTCCCCAAGGTGGACATCTGTAACCTGGTCAAGAGGTTGGGGCAATGCTCCGCTAGGCAATGTCCCCACCACGGCGACAGCCATGCCAGAGGCCATGGAAGAGGAACACCGTTAATTAACAGAGGTATTTGCACGGGGCCTCTGGGAGAACACTGCTGGGGAAGGTGATAGCCAAGTTTATTTATTAATTAAAGAAGCCAAGCAGGGGATTGCAGCCGTCGGAGCAGGGCCGGCTCAGCCAGCAAACCCCACCGACTGCTCGACCGGGAGCACCTGGAGCAGGAACAGGGATGGGGGGAGAGCAGGGAGCAAAGGTCTGCCTTCACCCCCCGCTCCCGGGAGGTCAGAGAAGGTCCCAAACCTTCTGTGGCATTATACAACCCCATAGCTCAGGTCTCGATCTTCCCATCGAGCTGTGAGTTTGGGAAGGCAGAGCTTGAGCTCGATGCCTGGGATCACAGTCTGCTGCAGAACGGGAAGGGAACATGAGACAGCAAACTCTTTTTTTTACCTTTTTTTTTTGGAGAGGCAAATGAATGGGTTTGGGCTGATGACACTGTTGCCAAACGGTGCCAAGGCTGGGGACCGCCCTGGGCTAAATGCGTGCGTGGGTTTGCTGGAAAACGTCGCAACAGCATTTCCCGAATGAAACATTTCCATTTTTGCCATCTGAGAATGGCATTTCCCACCCCAGAAACTGGCCCAGACATCGGAGCCACCACGAAAGGTGGGTCCCCCCCTCCAGGGGCAGAAAACGTCCTGCCATGCGATGGCACCAGCCGAGCCTTGTACCAAGGTCTTGCAGAGCCCCACGGCCGGAGGAGATGCTGCTCTGCCCAGTTTGCAGACTGGGAAAGCGACGTGCCCCAGCGCATCCAACAGATCCTTCGCAGCACCAAAAAACACCCCAACCCTCCCCCAGATTCCCAGTTTTCAAGCACAAAAGACGACTTAAAAGATGCTCGTGGACCAAAGGCTTCAGGCAGGAGACTGCTGTGATGGCACAGCACCAAAGTGGGGGTGAATCCAGATGTCACGACACGGACATCTCCATGATGTGACCCCCATGGATAATTAAACCCGGTAAAACCATATTCTGCAGGGGAAGAGAGGGGGATTTGAGCACCGGGGCTGTACCAGCGATCTGTGCCGCTCTGCCACGCGGCTGAACCAAGCCCAGAAAGCATAAATAGAAAACAGCGAGCACATGTTGGAGGAAATGTTTCTAATATGGTATAAGGGACCGAGTGATAAGGGTGCATCTGGAGTACTGTGCCCAGATTTGATCACCTAAATATGAAAAAGGACATTACCGAGATGGATAATGGCACAGTAGGGAGTGACTGGAATGACTCAGGGACTTGGGGAACTTAAATAGAAAGGCTGGGAGAAAAAAAAAAAAAGGAAAAAAAAAAAAAAGAAGTAGGTCTGCATCCTTTGGAAAGTATTAAAGGGGGAGCACACAGTGGCGAGGAAAAGATTGTGAAGGGAATAGAAGGAGTAGGAGCTACTGAGTTATTTAAGCTTGTGCTAAGTGCAGGAACCAGAGGTTATGAACTGGAGGCAGAGGAAATATCAGGGCGGGCGGGCGCTGAGCAGGAGGACGAGGCAAGCAGCAGCCTCGGTGGGAGCCAGCAAATTGTGTAATTAACACAAAAGGTCATTATGGGAAGGTGTAAGAACAACACTGCGATGTGGAGAATAACCCGGTATGGGAAGGGGGGGAATGGTGCTTGGCACCGACCTGCTGGTGTCCCCTGTGAGCCAAGGCTGGGGAAGAGCTGTGCCGGTGGTATTGAAAATACCGATAATTCTATGGAGCACCATCGTTAACTCGCTGAGATTTAAACATGGCGACCCCCCACATCCGCCCCACTCCTCTTCAGAGTTCTGCTCTCTGTCACTAACGCATTGGGAGGTGAAGGGGGTTTGGGTTGAGATAGAAAATATCATCTTCCCACAAGAGGTTTCCAGAGCAAAAAGTGCCCATTTTCCCCCGGAGCTCCCCCGGAACGGCGACCCGGGCATCTGCTCACCCGCAGGGACGCTGGAATCAGCCTTGTCCCAGTTGCCTCTCATTTACCAGGAAGGTTTGGGAGGTGCCTCCCTATCCCGCATCTGCTCTTTCCTGCTTGTCAAAGGGACAAGAGGACCTCGGAGGCATCTGGTCACCTCGCCAGGGAGCGGAGAGAGGAGGAGAAGCTGTTGGTAAAACAGGCACTCTGCAGAAGCTGCCCGTGTGAGCCTGGACGTGATGCTCCGCAAGTACAAAGGGAGAAAATTTTCCAGCCCACAGGAAGGTTGGTTCTCCCGAAAGTTCACGTATTTTTTTTCCAGCTATGTCAGCTGCTCGGATGGAAGGTCTCACCCCTCCCTCCAAGCCCTCCTTCGAAAGGTCAGGATTAATTGCAGCAGATGAGGAAGATGCCTCACGATGAAAGCGCGGTCGGGCTCTGTGCTTCGTTCCCAGCCGCAGCTTCAAAAGCAACGAAGGCATTCATGCCAGCTACTGAGAATATCTTCTTAAAATTAAGACCGTTTGCAGAAAAGGGATCCTGGTTTGTATTCTCTCACTTAAAGATAAGGCCAAGTGAGGGAGAACTTCACTCTGCAGCCTCCACGTGGGACAGTGAACGTCTGTGATCATCCCAACCTGCCGGCTCCCAGCTGGGTGGGATCCCGAACAAACCATCCCAGTGCTCCTGCATCACCCTGCATGAATTAGAATCGTAGAATCACAGAATGGTTTAGGTTGGAAGGGACCTTGAAGATCATCCAGTCCCACCCCCTGCCCTGGGCAGGGACACCTCCCACCAGCCCAGGTTGCTCCAAGCCCCGTCCAACCTGGCCTTGAACACCTCCAGGGATGGGGCAGCCACTGCTTCACCGCTCACTTTTACCAAAAAAGAAGTTGTGTTTAAAAACTTTAAATCTTTAAATCTGCGTACAGGGCAGAGCCGTGATTTCATCCCGACTGATTTACACTGATGTAAGTGGGACGAGAGCCCGCTCCCGCGTTTATGGGCCTGGGGGTCATTAAGAAAACCAGCCAAATGTGACAACCGCATCATTTTCTTTTGCAGCCTGAGCAGCCCCAAGCGGGGGCTGTGGGAGAGGCACGATCCACCCCGGCCCCTTTGCTTCAGGGGCGTTGTTTCAGAAGCCTGTTGATGCTGAAACCTAATGACAACCGTCTGCAGCTCTGGGGTTTTCACCGCTGCGCTCGTGCTCGGTGAAACCTCCTGCCACGCCGAGCGCGGGGGCCAGTGACAGGAGGCAGGCTGCGAGGCGTGTTTTTTATTTTAAAAGTAGAGGAATTTTGCTCCGTTTATATGCGACTGGGAAGCTCGCGCTGCAGCAGCGGCCCCGAAGCCCGTCTGGCGCTGAAGGTGGGGATTAAGCCAGCCTCGAGCGGAGCAAATGGGTGTCTTGGCAGGAGCAGCCTGCAGCTCTCAGCTGGATTTGCTGGGCTGCTCCAGCGTCGTGGCATCCTCGTGGTTCTTAGAAATTAGAAACGATAGTTTTCCATTAGCCAAATGCTCATCTGGCGCTTTGGCCGTGTGATATAATTAAGAAATAGCCCCTTCCCTCCCTCCCTGCAGCCCGGCCCTCTGCTCAAGGACTCCCATCATCTCTTTCTCGCCCTTGGTCCAGTTGGACAGAAGCACAAATTACCGAGGCAAAAGGTACGAGGGCCGGAGTTCCCGGCGCCGCGATAACCTTTCCCTCTTGAAACGCAGCCCAGCTTTCCAGAGGCACGAGTCTAACATATTATTTAGCGTAAAAACAGACACAGGACTTAAAGCGATCATGACAATGCTAATAACTAAACCAGTTATAACGATTAACAACAATTACAACCGCCAGGCAGACGCTAATGAGTACGAGCAGGGTGTTTAAACGGCTGGCAGGGCTGTGACGAGCGAGAGCCAAAATCCTCGGGGTGGCCTTGGGGCACAGGTTCATCGTCACCTCTGGCACCAGCCTGCCACGGAGCCGAGCTCTGCCCCCCGCTGACCCCCACCTCGAGCTGGAAAACCCACCGGGAAGCTGCTTTTCTGCCGCCGGGTCCTTTTTTGGATGGTTAAATGCTGGGGCAGTTGTGAAAGGCAAAGAAAAATGTGTGTGTGCACATGCATGTCCCATCACCTTCCGCTTTCCTTACCCTGCGCCGAGGCGTCTCCACGCATAAATGGACAGCCCCACTTTGGGACCGCACTACAGTTTATAAAGATCGGGACATCGTTTTTTCTGAGCTCTGGGTGCTGGTACCGCCTGCAGCTGCCACATTCTCCGGTAGCCAAATAAGTCATCGCGCCGGAGGGTGGGAAATAAGCTCCGCAAAACCATGAAGAGTGGAGAAACGCCGACTTGCTCCGGTCTCTGCAACCCACTGGGACTCAACCCTGGCTGCGCTACCAAGAGTTTGGTAGAAACAGGGCTGAGTGGCCTCCTGGGCTGAGGATGACAGCCCTGGGGACATCCATGGAGGGCTGATGTTGGCTAAAGGGAACTGTTGGATCACACTTTCCAGAAACACTGGGAATCACAGAATCATAGACTCATTTAGGTTGGAAAAGACCTTCAAGATGATTGAGTTCAACCGTAAACCTAATGCTGCCAAGTCCACCACCAAACCATGTCCCTCAGAGCCATGTCCACATGTCTTTTAAATACCTCCAGGGATGGTGACTCTACCACTTCCCTGGGCAGCCTGTTCCAGTGCTCGACAACCCTTTTGGTGAAGAAATTTTTCCCAATGTCCAATCTAAACCTCTTCTGGGGCAACTTGAGGCTGTTTCTTCTTGTCCTATTGCCTGTTACTTGGGAAAGTTGGGCACGGGGGCTCTCGGACCCTGGAAGGGGTAAACCAGCTGAGCAATGCTTGGGGTGCTCACGTGTTCAGGAGAGCACGAATGTGCATGAAGCCGGTTTAGCCACCCACCACCCACAGCATCTAGCGCTGAATCCCTCTGGTGTCCATCATCCAACAAGCGGGATGCCTGCTGCGGGTCCCTGGCTCCATCACTGGGGCGGGACCGTCCCCTCCGAGCTCTGGAGTGGGAGGATGGCATGGGAAGCTCTGACAAGCTGGGCTTTGCCAGGAGGATGTGTTTTCCCAACGTGACGAGAAGGAGCGGGGTGGCAGGAAGCCCCTGGCTGGTCCAGCCCTGGCTGCTCGGACACAAGCGCTGCTTTCCTGTGCCGGAGCGGAAGAGGTGATGGAAAGTGAAGCAGGTGGGACCGGGGAGGAAACAGATCTTCCGCTCCCATCCCACAGTGCGGGTCCTTGAGGAAAAAGCAGGGGTGGGGACCCTGGCCACCGTGGCAGGCTCTCGGGCCGGTGGCTCCGGGCAGGCGGTGCTGGTTCCTGGGGTGGTGGTGCGCGTCCTTCCGGCTTCCCGTGCCGAGATCCCTCCCTGCATTGGCTTCCTCTAGGCCATGACTCGCTTCCTGCCCTCTCTCCGGGTTGTTTCTGCCCAGCTCCTCTCCCCGGCCCCTTGGGATGCACCAGGATGGCTGGGTCCCTCCCTGCAGTCCAGGATGGGATGAGGGACAGGGCCAAGAGTGCCTCCATGGGAGATCCTTCAGCACACAGATCTCATCGGGCAGGAGAGGGGATGGATGCTGGGGCTCCTCCATGAAGAGCTCACTAAGGCCACCCCCTGTGGGGTGCCTGTCCAAAAAGGAGAGGCATCCCTCGTGCCCATGGTGTGGAGAAGGTGAGGAGAGGGTCCCCAAACCGGAGTTATCTGAACTTTGCCAGCTGCAGAGTCTCCTCGGTCACCCATCTCTTGGGACCTCTCCCGTCCTCTACACACCCTCCATCACCACCCGCACCCCAGGATGCTCAAAGGCGGCCAGACTCAGATCCCCACAAACCACCGTGGTCCCTTGGGTTAGCTAAAGCAAGGCGGGTTCCTACCGCTTCTCTGTCTGCTCCCGGCGTCCTCGCTGTCCTCTGGGAAGGGGGGGTCCAGCTCCTCATCTGGGGGGGGGAAACAGAGCAGAGAAGTCAGGGCAGGGCTGTGAGCGTTACTGCTGCACCAAACCCCCAGGCAGGCAGAGGGCTGCGAGAGCATCCGACTGTCAGAATAATAAATTCCTGGCTTAATTGTGAAGAGTGGAAGGGAGGAAGTCGCAGATAATATTTTAAAACGTGTTGCATAAAAATATGAATTGTTGTTAACACTGGTAAAAACAAATCACTTATTATAGCCTCATAAATTCAGGCAGCACTTTGCCGAGTGCCCTATAGGAAGAGATCCTTCCTGTGCAGGACTCACAGCCCGGAGAAAACGAGACACCGAGGAGAAATGCCAGAACTGAAATGAGAGGAAGGATGGGGGGCAGAAGCAGGAATTGAGGAGGAGAAAGAGGAGCCCAGGCAGCGGAGGGCAGGCAGGATGGCACGGCTGCCGAGGACGGGCAAAGAGGATGCAAGAAAATAGTTAAGAAAAGGTACCGTGGAAAAGGTTAAGGACTGGAAGTCGTGGGGAAGCCCTGCGAAAATGGCTAGAGACTGACGGGAGCAAGGATCTACGCACAAATAAGTTTAAATAAGATTATTTAACTCCAAGCCAGGTACAACCCATCCAGTCTGAGCTGCTCTGGGTGCTCAGCACCCACAGCAGCTGCCGTCACAGCCCAGGCTTCCTTCTGCAACCATAAAGACTTGAAGCAACCTAATAAAATAATATAAACAAAAAAAACCCAACCCAATTCTGAAAGGTTTCAGAAAGCAAATTGCTCATCTGCACCTCTTGCACCACTGCCGGCAAAGGGGTGACGGGGAGCACAGGGCAGCCCTGGCATGGCTGAGCCCGGTGTGGAAGAGGTGTCCCTGTCGCCTCTCAGGGGACGTGGCTTTGCCGTCACCTTTAGGCAGAGCCAAGAGAAACCAAGCCTGGATCTTCTGCTCATCCCGCGGCACCCTGTCGCAGGGCAGTGAAGCGCTGCTGCGGCCGCGCGGCACTTTCCGAGGACGCGGCCCCGGCCGTCTCTCCCAGCCGGCGCTGATCAATGCAAACCAGGTCAGACCTCCGCTGCCAATTACAAATTGCATCCCGAGTCGGAGGGTCACTGCAACTGCTCCCCCATTAGACGGGAAGCGGCACCAAAGATCTTTTCTAAATAAATCAGACTTTATTGTAAAACTCGGCCACTGACGAGACAGAACCTCATTAGCATTGATTTTAAAATAAATTATTGAAAGTGGCTTTTGCCTGCTCTTTGCATTTGTAAAAGAGAACGTAAATGTATCAGTAACAGCGCTACCCCATCATCGTTCCCACGCACGCACCCCAAACCCTCACATCTGCATTGCTTTATACTTTAACCAATGGCACCAAATCCCCTAATCCCACTTTGGCACAAGACGGAGGGCAGTCAGACCAGCTCCCGCGCTCCAGGGAAGTCCCAGAGCCGTCCCCCAAAGCAGGGCAGCATCGTTCCTCCACCGCTGTGGGTGACACCTGCACCCAGAGGCTCCCCACGATCGCCCCCTCCTCCTATCCGTGCTGTGCACACCCCTCCGGCTCCCATCCGTGCCTGTAACCTGCAGGCACCAATTCCATCCCGGAGCCGGGTTGTCCTCAGGAAACCTCTTCCCAGAGCCCTTCCGACACCTCCCGACACACACAACACGCTCCTTGGGAAGCGTCAGCCGGCGTTGGCGCAGGAAAACATGTGCCACGAAGGAAATGTCGGGTTTCCAGGGTGAGCGAAGCTGCGGGAATCCTGCCCGCGGAGAGGGCTGGCACTGCCGGCTCCCCCCCCGGACCCGCGCTGGGCAGCCAGGGGTGCCCCGACGATCCCGGGGAGATGTATCTGTCCTGCTCCCTCCCTGCTTTCCTGGGAGCTCCCCGCAGATGGCAGAGCTGGTCCCCCTTGCCGGCACAGCTGAACTAATGGGGAATCACATTTACAGCCCCTAACGAGCTCAAGGAGCTCTGTGGGTCCCAGCCCCTGGCCCCACAGAGAGATGCTGCTCCCCCCAGTCCTCGCTCTGCAGGAGCCACGTGAAGCTGCCGGGCAGGGCCTGGGGAGGCTTTCCTGAGCAGCCCCCTCTCCCTCTCCCACCTCGGACCATTTTATTCTATATTTGATGGAACGGAGCATGTTCCAACCAGAAATCAAAGCCAGAGCTCCACTCCCTGTCTGCATCGCCCACCTGAGACATCAGCTGGGCAGCAGACTGCTCCGCGGCTCGGACAAGCTGCTCTGCCATGTCTCAGTCCTCTGTGCCTCAGTTTCCCTTTCTTTACAAAGCCCCTGTCCTGCTGACCACTCAACTCTGTGCCTGTTGCGAAAGGTGCTCGGAGGAAGATGCCAGGCGATGCCCGGTGCCCGCAGCGAGCTCTCCCAGCCTGATGGGCTGCGATGGCTGTGATGGATGGAGCCTTTGCGGAAGGATGGGTGGGAACTCGCACGGGATTTTTCTCAGGAAAACACGGTGGGGAGGCAGCCGGCTGGTGTGGCTTCCCCTCGGCTGACGGCAGCCAGCTCCACTCGCCCTCCCGCACCCCATCTCCTCCCGCACCGCTGCAGCGGGGTCAGCCACCACCTCCCCGCGGACGCCCCGGGATGGCCGTGGTGAAGGTGGTGCTGAGCCCTGCCGGCGCCACGGCTTGTGCTGCGTGTGGCACGCTGGCCCCAGGCACGGGCCTCGCAGATTTTGAGCTGTGCCATTCATGTAGGGGGCCTGTGGGGACGCGAGAAGCCCCCTCCGCACCGCAGCCTGTTGCATCCAGGCGCTTTTCTGAGCCAAGTCCGGACGTGATGCTCTGCCTTCCCAGGGCCTGAGTGTGTGATCTCAGCCAATATCTGGATTTTATAGTGATGAATCAGAGGGCAATGCTGAAAAATGCATCTCCTGGGGGTCTGTGCTGCATCCCCCTATGCTGCAGAGCATCACGACCTCGTCCACACCACCCTCAAGAAAATGTCTTTACATCCCCGTGGGCAGCTCCGGGCACCCACACCCGGGGTCCAGAGCCCTGCGGCAGCCCCCAGCCCGGGGCAGGGCCGGGGAGCCGGGGGGCCATGCACCCCACCGCCGCGCCGGAGCAGCCCGGGCGTTGGGCAGATTCTCAGAGGAGCTGTGTTTTAATGTAGCAATTTGATTCAATTTTCCACTCTATAAAATTACCCATCACTGCTCGTTGCTTCCTAACAGACACCTTCACTCTTAATTTAACAATCCTATCGAATTCTGCCAGGGAAATTGGAAAAATTTATCACCTGTGAAATTTTATTTTTCCTTGGTTGTATCTGTTTTTGTAAAACTTCATTAACGACGATGACTTGCTGAGGAAATTATCTCTTCATCTCCCCCCCTTTCTTTTTTTTCCCTCTCCTTCTTTCTCTCTCTATTTTCACGTGGGACACGAGGGAGGCAGCCGGGCCCAGAGGAGACCCCAGCTTGGATGGGGACTTTTCCTGTGCTTACTGGGGATCCCAGGGGTGCAAAGGGATGGGGACACACACACACTCAGGGCAGAGCAAACCTTTCCTCCCTGCCCCTGTGCCCCGCAACTGGTTCCTCACCGCTCGCACGCTGTGCATCTGCCTCTACAGCAGCGTGCCGCCACCACCCACCTTCAACCTGGCAGGGAACTGGGGTCTGTGGGGGGTGAGACACTTGCTCAGATGGGAGAGGTGGTGGCTTTGCTTCCCGCTGGCAGCGCCCTGCAGGGTGTCCGAGCCGTGTCCCCACGTGTCGGTGCGATTCTAGCCGTGGGCAGGATGGCGGATGGCCGGAGAGTTGAGGCGACGCGGGCAGAGGCAGCAGGTCCTGCCTGCGCCTGGGCTCAGCGCAGCCGTGATGCGATGGTGGGTGCGGGAGGTTTGGCCGAACCCCGGGGACAGCAGCCCCCTGCGCGGCAGCAAAGCCCCCGGGACGCCCACGCAGCAGGACCAAAGGATGCTGTGAAAGCCCTGCTAAAGCAAAGGGCTTCAACCCTGCCGCTTGCAGGGTTTGGGCTGGCGAGCAGCCGGAGACACAACCCTTCGGGCTACCTTAGGGACCTCCCAGCAAGCTTTTAAGAAGCTGAGATGAGCAGGACAGAGAGCCCCTTAAAAGCCCATAATTAAAGGAAAGGTTTGGCTGTGGATGTTCCCTCCTCCACCACGATGCTCCGCAAGCTCCAGCATCGAGGCACCCACCGATCCATGTGTGGGAGCAGGAGAGCAATGCCCATGGGAACCGAGGGTGAACCTGGCTGGCAGGGTCGGCTCCAGCTCTTTCGAGATGCTCTGCATCCCGCAGGAGGGGGGGGGAATGAAAGGGTCTGTCCTTAAATCAACACTGGCCAAGTTCCCAGCAGGATCACCATTAGCCACGTGTGGAACAAACCTCACATCTAATATCTGCTCTGTAGTCAGCGTTGGCAGCCTCAAGGCAGCGAGGAGCTGGACGCAGCTGTCAAAGCAGCCAGGGATGCTGAAAGCCCTCGGCCTGACAGACCATCAGCCCTTCACACGCACCCACCCGGGGACTGCGGCACGGAGGCTCCTGCTGAGCTCCGGGATCGCTGTAGGTACACCCGGAGGAAGAGAAAGCTGCTGCCCAAAGAGCTGAGGATGTAAACAGAGGAAGGGAAGACAAGAGATGGGGAGAGGCGGAGGGTTTGCCCGGGCAGCCCCGGAGCCCCAGCTCCGCTCCCGGCAGCTGTCTGGGTGCCACTTGCAAACCGCTGAGCTGAGATTTCCTCTGGCAACAATAACAAGACAAAGATCTCGGGCATCATAAAACTTTCTAGCGCATTTCATATATATATATATATATATATTTATTTTTTTTTTAATCACTGTAAATATAAAGTTCTGAAATAAATAAGAAGAAACAAAGACCTATTTTGCATCTCCGAGCACAGACACCCAAAGGACCCCGTGCTCAGGGATGGGGAGCAGAGCTGAGCGATCCCAACCTCAGCACAGAGGCAGAACAGCACGTGGGTTTGAATAAGGCTCAGGTGACCTGTTGACCAAGCCCTGGGGCATGTCACACCGTGACTTCTGCTGTAAGGGTAAGAAATGGTGCGGACCGTGCCGCCCTCACACGCTGTTTGGTTCCGAGCCAGGAAGATCGCTTCTGGCTCCTTTAACCGGCAGTCGCTGCCCTGCTACCTCCAGACCTCGCGCACTCTGAGTGAACAAGCGCTGGTCTTTAATGCAGTTATTTTATCATCTCTTGGAAGGCCAGTAATTGTGTTACAGCCATGACTGCATGCCCAGAAGGGAGCATTTTCATCGTCTGAAGTCTGATTTTCCAGGTAACACAGCCCAGAGATTCCACTCTCACCAAACTTAATATTGCCCGAGCTGAACGGGGCGCAACCTCTAAAAGCTGTCTCACCTGAACTTATAAACCCTCTGCCTTGCTGGAACAGAAGGGGTTTGACGTCCATCAACCAGTCTGAACAAAGAAATGGGGTCAAACCTTTGAGTTTTGGGTCCATTGAACTCAGCTGAGTCCTAGATGTTCATTCCCATCACCACGTTGGGTGGCCAAGGTCTCCTGCCATGTTTGCAGGGCTACGGCTAGGGAACAGCTTGGGGTTTGGTTGCTTACCTGGCAAAACCTCATAGATGTCATCGTCCTCTTCCATCTCAACGTTTGACTCATCTTGATTCAGGGTAGTATTGTGGGATGTTGTGTTCACAGAGTCAGAACTGTCCACGTCATTGTAGAGGTCTTCTTCGTCCTCTTCATCAAATGGGATAGTGAGGGAGCTCAGGTCTGGCAGAAGAGACCAAAAGCATGATGTGAAAGAGCAAACCAGGGTACCAGCTGGATGCTGGTACTTTCAGCGAGTTGAAATCAAGTAACCGAGCCTGTGCTGCAGTACTTTGTGCGCACTATGGATATTGCAGGGACTAAACTGTCCCCTTGCTTGGCCCATGAGCACCTGGTGTAAAAAAAAAAATTGGGATGGAAGCTAAGAATAGGTTAAAACAAAGGAAAAGGCCAAGAAAGGATGGCAAATGCCAGCGAACAAAGCCAAATTCAACAAGTGCCTCAAGGAACCGGGCCTGACCCCATTCCTGGGCAGCTGCCTGTGGTTCCCAGAGGGTTTCCACATGCGGGGTTGGAGTCTTGTCTCAGTATTGCTGGGCTCAAACTGGAGCAACTCCAGTGGAGCCAAACCCCATCCTTCATTAGCCAAAGACAGGACAGCAGATCTGGAACCCCAGCAGTGAGGAGCGATTCACACCTTTTTCTTGTCCCACCTGGTGACATCTTTGAGAGATCAACACAACTCTATCCTCTAAAAGCAGCCAAAAGAGCTGGAATTGAAACCAAATGCCCATCAGTTCCAAACAACCACTTCTTTTTAACCACCTGCTCGAAAGAGCAAAGCCCCAGAACCTCTCTTTTTGCTTAAGAGGGGATTCAGGGACCCCAGGGAGGTCCTGGCAATGAGCATGAGCCCACGCGTTGCTGGAGGGAGCAGCCCAAGCCGGGTGGGAAGATGCCACCAGGATCTGACCAAACACACAGGGCACACTGGCTTGGGCCAAGCCGCCAAACTCACCTTTCAGGAGGAACTGGATCTGATCCACCCAGTCTTCGGCCTCTGCTGGGCTCGGGGCTGTGAACTGGAGAGAAGGTCACCTGTTATTGTGCTGGTTCTTGTACGTAGGAAGAGGAAAAAGATTTGCAGCTAGAATAGGGGATGGAGATCCCGGATCTGCCATCCTCTGCCCTGTGACTTTGGGAAAGCCATTTCACTTCTTCATCTCCCTGTTCCAAACAGGGAAACAGAAGCGGAACAAAGCTAGACTATCCCAGAGGAAGGCTGTCAAGCCTAATTCATTAAAATAATTCAGATGAAAACCACAGTCCCCACTGAATATACTATACCGACTCTGAACCAAGACTCCACACCCAAAACCTCCCGAAAGCTCGGGAAGGCTCTCATGCACACTTTGTAGATTGGGCCGGGTTTTTCATAACACCGGATTTTCAGCTTCCCCCGGATGCTCAACAAACCCAAAGTTTAAATTTAACCTGGCTCTGAATTGCTAATTTAAAAAATGGGCTTTCCAAACCCAATCCTCTGCTGCTTCTACCCCATGTTCCCACTTAACCTTTGAGCCCCACAAGTGCAAAGAGAGCCCGAGAACACTCTTGTGCCCCAGGAAGGTCCATCTTGAGGTGACCTGCCAAGAAGCAGAAGCATCGACACCTTCTGCAGCGCGGCTTGGTTTGTTTTACCAGGGGGGTTGGAGATTCACAGCCCCCCTGGCCCTGCAGGTCCAGCCTGCACCCCAGAAAAAAAGTGTGTGCTTTTGTGCCTAGTGCTCAAACCAGCCCAGAAGGTCCATTTCTTCCCCCGGTTCCTACCTCATAGGTGCGTTTGCCAGGGCAGGTTAACTTGAAACAGCATCTTTTTCGAGAGTCTTTACGCAGATGGGAAGCCAGGCGGGCACTATAGTGCTCAATGGAGAAGTTGCCTTTAGGTTGCTTGCCTGGAAGAGGAGAAATACGCTGAATCTGGAGTTTGCACCTTTTTTATCAAGCTCATGGTACTGCTGGGTGGTGCAGGTATCTGCTGCCCACAGGGAAACCGAGGTAACACCACGCGTCGATGGGAAATGGCCAGAAAAACCTCTTCAGTCTAACCATGTCCACCCCCAGGAAATCCAAAGGGAATATTATAAAATCTTCCTAAAGACACAGTAAAGAGGATGCCCTTTTAAGCTCAAGAGATTGCGAGCAGCCAGTGAAAGGTTGCCGGGGCCAGAAGGCTGCATGAGATGAGCTGGTTGTAATGAAGCAGAGACCACTGTGTACTTGGGGAAATATGATACCAATGATTATTCTGCTGGTAAGGCACTAATGGGCTGGCGTGCAGGAAGAAATTCTTAGTGGGGCCTTTGAGAATTGGCCTACGGATCTTGCCGATGTACAACCACGGTCCGTGTCAGCCGGGGTGGAGAGAGGGAACTTCACTGCAGTCATCTGAGGCATCCTTATTCAGCTCAGCTCATCATTTCCTTATGAATCTTCTTGAGGAAGTGTGGGAGTACGATTCAGGCAGTTGCTCTGAACTTTTTTTGGATTTACAGATCCTTCAGAAACTTCCAGGGGTGAGGTCAAGCCCTATATAAGGATTCCAGCCCAGCGAGAAGAGGTTTGCTTTACTCTGTTGTCTTCTGAAGACCACGTGGAAGATGAGAACTGCTCGACCCTCACAAAACCAACCAAATATCAACCCTTGGCTTCCACGTCACCCTCTGCCAGCACCTCACACCCCTGCAGAGATCCTCAGACAAAGGATGTGGAAGAAGGATGAAGACCCAGCTTCATCCCCACGACCCACTGGGGTTTAACCCTGTCCTAGCTGCAGCCTGGTCACTGTACACCAAGGATGTACGTGTGCATTTTATAAGCCGTTTTCATGCTGTGTTTCTGGATGGGTGGAAGAGGGTAAGGCCATATATCTAATCACGCCAAACTCTGTTGGAGATATTAGCTGTCTGTTTATATGTACCTGATGGAGCATGACTGCAAAATATTTATATACACTGACACATGGCTTATATACAGTCACTTAGGGGGTTGAAGCCCAGCTGATGGCTAATGGAAAGCTTGCTACATCATTTTATTTACACACAGCTCTGTTCCTGCGTCTCTCTTCTCTTGTTCCATACCTATAAAGGGTATAAAGGTGTTGGGAGGGGAAGAAAAAAAAAGAAAAGCGAGCTGAGATGTACCTTTCTAGATCCTGTATGTTATGCCTTGATGGGGAATTACAGTCTTTCCATGGTAAACGGTTTTCTCTTGTCAGCTCTTAGCCTGTCCTTCAGCAAGGGCTCTCCCCTTTTCCAGCCCCATCCATGCCCTCAGCCACCACCCACTGTTTGGGGACCAGAGGTGGATATCTCACCACTTACTTTTCTCATTGGCATAGTAGTAAAAGGTCCTTCTGTTGAGGACACACCACCGCTTCTGCCACTCTGACCCAAAAAAGCTGTGCTCTAGAAAGAAATGGACAGCAAAAGGGTAAAAAATATTCATTTCTCTTCTTTCACCGTATGCTTCAGAGGAGTATTTAGGGGAAAGAAGATGTTTTTTTTCCCCCAAAAAACCCCTGCAGATTTCTGGCACAAAATTCAGGCAAGCAAATTTAGATACAAAACCTCAACCAAGTAAGGGAGAACCTTCTACCAGGCTGGAGCCCCTGAGAGCCTTCCCCAGCTCTCCAGGCTGGGCTGGGCTGGGCTGAGCTGCTCTGACCCTTAATCCTGCTAACTGGGAGGAAACACAGCTTTGGGTTAAACCTCCCCAGTTGAGTTTTAAGCAAATGCCTTTTTCTCTGTAATTGGAGCAAGCTAAAACATGCACAGGGCCAGTTGTACAGCGCAGCTGATGGCCGTGAGGAAGAAAGGGCTGTTCTTGCCTCATACCACCTGTCATACAGTAAATAAATCAAGATAAAATCTGAGCGATGAGGAAATAATTTGTAGCTTTCACAAGAGTCAGTAAAATCAAGATAAACCTGAGCCTGACTCACAGTCCTTATCTCAACTTGCTAATGTGTGTGATGCTACGAACTACCTTGTCTTCACTGGGATTTTATCCTCATTAGGTATTGCTCGTTAGAAGGGCACATCTTGCCTTAGAGAGGACTGGGCTGCTGCTTAATTCAATTTCTGGGTTTTAGTCTTTGTGCAGTTTGACGATCTGCAAGAGAATAAATAAAGGCTGTGTCCTCCCTGTGTGTATGATGCCTAAGAAAAGCCTGAAAGCTTCTGCGTGAGCCTACGGACAAATCTGCAGAAAATATGTATTTTCCCATTTGTTCTTCATCTGAAAACTTGCATTCTTGGTAATTCTGAGGTGACATCCCCAAACCTTATCTTATGACGTACTTGTCAGTCCTTACCTCGGGACCTCTTCTCCAGATACCCTTGCTTCAAAATGTTCCCGGTGTCTTGAACAGGCTTCGGTGTCATTTCTTCCAATCCTACAGAGATCAAAGCAGAGCAAAGCCTTGGGATTTCCCATTCGCGTAACCCCTCAGCGCAACATTTTCAGCCCCTTTCTCTGCACCAAGAGGCTTGGGAAGGCAGAGCAGCGGCTGGAGGTGAATACCATGGTCCATCATCATCTCACCAGCTATTCCCAATCCTGGTTGCAGCCACCCAGAAGTCCTCAAGGAAACCAGGACCACGGTTCACAGGGCTGCAGAGACCCATCCTCAGCGGGGTGAGGCTGGTGCTGCACCGGGGGCTGATGCTCAGCCCTTTCCCCCCACAGCCAAGGTTCTCTGGGTCCTGGTCAGGTTTACAGACCTGGAAACCACAATCCCTTTGTCCGATGTCTCGTCTAACTCAGACCACCACACCTCACCTGGAGGCCAGACCCTGCGGCCATGGAGGGGCTGTGGCATGAACTGGACAAGGTGGCGGCCACATCTCATCCCCAAAACCAGCGGGGCCAGGATGTCCCCAAGCCATGGCTTGCTGCTGAGAAGATCTCCCCCTCCTCTCCTGCTCATCTCCTGCCATCATAACTTGTACTAAGCGCAATAAAAAATGACTAACTAAATGCCACTAATCACCTCCCCAGTGCCCAGCCTTGGCAGCCTTTCCAGTATGAATAACTTCGCAGAATCCCAGGTCACAAGAGCTTCTCTTTTTTTCGTAGCGTGTCTCGCTAACACCCAGCTCTCGGCCCAATCCATCCCCCCTGTCACCCCCCTCATTCCTGGGCTATTTTTAATTTTTGTGTTTTATAGTTCGCGAACTCTGGGCTCGCTATAAATCCTCCACAAAATGGGTCTTGGGGCGAACGGCAGACACAAAGATACGCAAAGTTTGGGTTGGTGGAAAGGCTCCCCTACGTCTGTCTCCTCCGTCGGCTGGAAACCGGATCCTTCAAAGACCAACTCCTCAGCTTGTGCAAAGCCACCTGAGATGATTCAAATTAGGGGAAGCCTGGGATGCCGTGGGGTACCCCCTCTGCAATGCCCGGAGGACATGGACGGCCCCTTCCCGCACAGAGAAATCTCATTTCTCCCCAGCACCTGCCCGGCACAAACGCGCTCAGGCTTTTCTCCAGCAATGCCGAGGATCTGACTTATAAAAAGGCACATTGTCTTCTCAAATCCAAGCCCCGACCCCTTTTGCGAATGCAAATCTAAATGTCATTTTATGGGACATTTATAATTATGAAAATGGGACGGTGGTGCTGAATGCACAGGGAGACCCTGCGAGTATGAATATTACATTAATGTGCCCAACGCCAGCTCGCTGATCCCGCTGGCAGGAACATAAAAAATGCTTGAGTGAAACTTTTATTTAGACGTTAAGAATCCAGGCCCCAGCGGGGTGACGGAGGCAGCCCCAGCGAGATCCCATCAGCGCGAGCGCTCGAATTGAATTACCCAGGGGGGAAGGCAGGAGCTGCGAGTGCTGCTTCGCTTATTTAATTTCATTTACTTTCAGTACATTATCAGCATGGGGCTTCCCTCTGCCCCTGTTCCCCCAAGAAAATCAGCTCTGGAAATTGCCGCCGTGCCTGATGCTGCTGTCACTTGAGCCAAGGCAGGGACATGTCCGGCCATCCTGGTCCTCCTCGGGATGCGCTTTCTGCTCTTTCCTCACTTGCCGAGAGAGATTTGGGGGAGTACGAGGACCTTTCAGACACCACAAAGAGCAACCGAAGCGGGGAAGCAGCACGGACGTGATGGGAACCATCAACAACCTCTTCCATCCCCTCATCTTCTCTCTTCACCCATCATTTCTCAGCACTTGCCTGTAAGCGGGCAGGACCCCCGGGAGAGCTGCGGCCTTCTCAGTTGTGCTTTGCCCTATTTGAGATCAATTTTCCACGTAGGCAGATCCCACGTTTCAGGTTATTTGTGGCCCCAGATCCCAGGATCTGACAGGTTGGCGGCTCCCCGGGGCACCTCTGCGGCTTCGCCTCCGAAACACCGTCAGGAGCCCAAATCTCTCCCGCTCTGCAAATAGACTCCGTGCCTCAGTTTCCCAGCAGGAAAATCAGAAGCAAAGGAGAGTCCCTTCTTCTTAAATACTTGGTTGCTGCTCAGACAAACTAACGCAATTAAGGAGGGGTTGCGAGGGCTGATTCGATTGCACAGGGCTCTGGAAATTCTAAGTTTTACAGAATATGACATGAAGATGGCAGCTGTAACCCGTGTGTTGCACGCAGCCTCTCTAATGCAGCCCTGCTAATGCAGAGCCGGGAAGATTAAATCTGTGCAAGGTGGGTGAGCGCAGGGGGGGACGCGGTGCTCGGGGCTCTGCTTTGGCTGCAGATGGGGCTGGGGCTACGTGGGGTGTCCCCGTCCCTCCCCATGTCCCCAGCCTGCTCCTACCAACAATCCAGATGGCTTTTGCTAGCAGCAAATAGCTAAATTAACCTGCAAAGACAGTCCCTGGTGGTTTTTTTTTAATTATTATTTCTTTAAGCCATCTTAATGGACACCCAGTCCCCGTCCCTCCCCATGTCCCCAGCCTGCTCCTACCAACAATCCAGATGGCTTTTGCTAGCAGCAAATAGCTAAATTAACCTGCAAAGACAGTCCCTGGTGGTTTTTTTTTAATTATTATTTCTTTAAGCCATCTTAATGGACACCCAGAAGATCCAGAGAGGCTCAGAGGGAGCCCAGCCCCGGAAAGCTCTCCGGTCTCTAAGGGCAGAGGGTTTATTTGCTTGGATGGTCCCATCAAAGCCCAGATGCTTCTGCCCCAGGACCACACAGCTGGCAGGTAAACCACAGCTCACCACATCTTCTAGGACTCCAAGGGATGGAAAAGCCAACCCGTCGCCTCGTCATCTTTTCCAACCACTAATGGCCATTCACCATTTATAAAAACAGAGAAAGAAAAGGCCCTAAATTAATCTGAGGGAGACACATCTGGGCTCTCTCAGACACACGGCCCCTCTCTGGTCGCTCCCAGCATGGTGTGGCACGGCTGTGGCTGTGTTTGGATGGTCTCAGTGGTCCCTTGCACCCTTCCATCTCCCCCAGCCCACCCTTTGCCCAGCAGACGGTTGGTACCAGCAATGCTGCCCAGTGCCATCAGCATCTCAAACCCCTGGTGTCCTCTCCTCCACCCTCTGCAGTCTCTCAAGCCCGGCTCCCGAGGGAGCTGCTCACCCCCAGGGATTTTCCTGGAGGTGAATTTCCCCATCCATGGGACACATCGCTCCATTTGGAGCCTCCCACAGAAGCTCTGTGCCATAATCCTGGAGACCGCTTTTCTGCAGAGGACACAAAGCTGTAGCATTTCAGGAGTGAGAAAAATATGAGGCCAGAGACCTGCACCCATGGGTGCAGGAGCAGACACCAGCTAATTCCCTTCCCCTCCTTATCGCACCTCAACCTTTACTGTGATTTACCTCCCTCAGGTACGGCTGAAGGATGCTCTCAGCTTCAAAGGCTTCACCCCTACACCGGGCTGGCACAGGGGTGGACCCAGGTCACCCATCACTCTGCCTTTGCTGACCAAATGGCATATTTTTGGCAAAATTTTGAGGAGTTTGGCTGCCGAGCGCCATGACCGTTCCAACCCTGTCTTCGCCATGTCCTCAAGGACCTCTGGATTTCAGCTCTCGCCCCTTTGGTCTCTGAGTCATGCACACCAGCTGCACAAAATGTCACAGTAGCTGCAGCCAAACATGCCCGGGGGCCACGTCGGTGCCCACGCTGTCACATCAACCGACTGTTCAAAGGGATGGAGCACGGAGGCACGACGGTTACAGCTAATTCCCCATCCTCCAGCTTATTCACCAGGCTCAAATGTGCCAAGAGCAGATTCTGCTCCCGGGGACATCGCAGGGAACACCCAAATACATTTCAAACCAGAGCACAATTGGCTGTGATTTCCCAAAGCCCTCCGTGGTGGCTGCGCTCTTTTTCCATTGAAGCTAATGAGAAAAAAAACAATCAGAAAGAGACAAACAACCCCTCCCGCCGCCTTCAAAGCGAGACGGACTCGGGAAATGCTGAAAGCTTTTGGAAATCTCACCCGCCACCAAGGTCTGCCACGGCAAAGGGGCCCGAGACGCGGCTGCTGGGGCTGATGGCACTGATGGCCACCGCCAAGCGGCACTTGAGGGTCTGTTCAAACACAAGCGTCGTACACGCAAAACCAAGGAGCTGTTTGCAAGCCACGCTCCTTTCGGTCTCTGACGGGAGAATAATGTTTCCCGTATTTAAACCGTTACCTTTTTCCAAGATCAAGAGGATCTTGAAAGCAGCTCCACTTTCTCACATCAGGATCCACGTGGGTACAGATCCCCCCCCAAACCCTCTTCCCAGGTACCCATAATTGAAGTTAGCAGCCAGATTTACCCCAAGGTCCAGTCCCCCATGGGAGGACGGGAGCGAGCTTGGCTCCTTGGCTCCAGGCTCCGGCTGGTGGAGGCACAGCCGGGCAGGACCAGTGCCATGCAGGTGCTTCAGCCCAGCGAAGCAACCGGCAACGGGCACGGAGTGATGTCCTAACTAAACGGAGCAGGAGGAGAAAGACCATCCATCAGCATGGTCCCCCTGGTCCCTGCCTCCTCAACCCCCTGCTCCGGGTCCCAGCCCATCTCCTCGGTGGCTCCCAGCCCCTCGGTGCCCCTCGGACACACTTCTCTCTGTGCCTCGGGAATGTCACCAAAGCTTTCAACGCCTTGGAAACGGCCAGGGATCATTTATAACGACGGGAATGAAATGAGCAACTATTTCAAAGAAAATGGGGAACTAAACAATTGTCAGCATGGATCACATGAAATAGATCTTGTGCCAGACTAATTTTATTGCATTTTTTTGAGCAGGAAAATAAGAAAGTAGATGAAGAAAAGGCAAGGCATGGCCGAGAAGATTTATTCGGGCTTCAGCTTGACTTTTCAGAAGAGGCTAGTAAGCAAAATTCGGGGTGTAGGCACCCACCCCAGGATAACTACCTAGATCGAAAGCTCGTCAGCAAGCAGGAGGCAGTTAAAAAT